TCACGTACTGCATCTCGCTCATTTTACAGATGGGGCAGTTGAGATTCACAGAGGTCAGACAAACCACCCAAGGCCACGGCTCAGGGGAGTGGCTGAGTGGGAAGGTGACCGAGGCAGGCTCCCAGCACCTACGGAAGTCTGTGTGCACCGCCTATTCCTGGATCCCGGCCAGGGAGCGGTGCACGGAGCGCACTTGCATGTGGGCCGGCTCCTGCTGCCTCCCGTAGCAAGGATTTGTTCTGCCACACGAGGGGAAGCAGGGTGCTGGGGACCCGAGCCAGCCGTTGCCGTGAAGCCTCACGCAGAATAGTTTTCGGGATACCAGCCCTGGGTTTGGCTTCTCTTTCTGCCAGTTTCTTCCTACTCACAACAGCTGACTTCTCTGTTTCCCTGCTCCATTGCATATGGCTTCTGGATCCGCATGGCATCATCTGCTCGTGGCTTCTGCTCATGGCTTCTGCTCAAGATTTGGTCCATCGCATTCTCCCTTCTTTTGGACTGCCTAAAAGGGTTTGATCTGCTCCTATCTGGGCTCGGGTATCCCTAATGGGCAGTGCTACCCTTAAGACTGCCCACGACTTGCTGGCTGGCCTGTGGAAGACTGCTTTGAGTCAAGTGTTGGCCCTGGGCCCAGTCAGCCGTGAGCAGGGTGATATGGACGAAGTACGAAGGGACTGTGTACACGGTGGGCATGCCCAGAAGCATGCCAGAGCCAAACTTCATGGCAGGTTGACCTTCCAAGGAGCCAGTGCATCTCCCTCTAGTTAATTGCAAAGGCTTTGGAGAAAGACAGACCTGAGACTGGGTCTGGACTCTGCTGCTTATTCGTTGTGTGAATGTGGGGAAAGTATTTGGTCTTCCCAAGGCTCAGTTTCCTCTTCTGTTAAATGGGTATATTAGCTCCTACCTCAGTTTGGAGAATTAAATGAAATAATGCCTGTAGAGCTCTGAGCATAGGGCATGTGGCGGATAACTATTGATACTTCCATTGTTGTTATTAATAAAGTGAGCTCACTGCTTGGATTGAATGGAATTACGGCAATGTCCGTGTGGGCAGAATTGCATCCAGGTTAAATACCTAGATCCTAAAGGCTGCACACCTTCGTTTAAATTCTGATTCTGTATGTACTGGCTGAGTTATTGGGGAAGTTACCTAAACTCACAGCTCTAAAATGAAAACAATCTCTAACTCAGAGAATTAATGTGAGAATTACAAAAAAAATGATAATAAAGTAAAGAATCCATGCAATGCACTTAGCAGGGAAGGTGGCACATAGTTGGTAACTGTGGTTGTGATTGTCATTACTGTTACCCAGCCTGCTAAGCATCCTGGCTGAGATGCAGGAAATGTTAGGCTGAGACTTGATAATGAACTTTGTTTTCGACAATCCAAGTTCATTGTTGAGAGTAACAGAGAGTTGAATGTGTTTTTATCCCATTCTGCTTCATCCTATTAGTGTCTAGGGGCTTTAAGTATTAATACAATTATTTTTTACAAAAGAAGAAGAAGAAAGGCCTTCTTTTCCAAACCTAGACATGGGAAACCAAAGCTAAGGGATATCCTGATTCCCAGTGTGTGGCTCTGGAAGAATCCAGAGAAAGGGAGGAACCTTGATTTACCTGCCACTAATCCCCATCATCAGCACAAGTGGCCCATAAATTCCTGGTCATGGGACGGGCCTTTGAGAGCTGGAACAGGGTTAGGCTGACAACCAAAATAATGACTGTTACTGGAGCTACCGATAGCTTTGTTGCTGCCAAGAATGTATAAAACCCCTCATTTTGGTATTGTATTCAAGATCTGAGATGTTTATACATAAGATGACAGCCACTCAATGCATTTCCATCTGGGGAATTGGATAACTAATCTTTAAAAAATATATATAGATGTTGTTTTAAAGGTACATTAGCAAATGACAGAATAGCAAGACCAAATAAATCTTACTTTTTGACAGCCTTGTACGGCAGTGGATTTTGTGGGATTTTTATTTCTGTCCCACCTGCCTCAAAGTTGTTTTCTAACTGCTCCTTGTCCTCTGTCTGCCCATTTTGCCGTCAGCCCCTGCCTTTAGAAGAATGACACAATGCAAAGGGGTCTTAAGTGACCTTAGCCCCTGCGTTGCTGTCGTCACTGTGTATCAGGCGCTGTACTCACCACTTCCCAGGCATTTATTTGCCTACTAAACCTGGCAGTGACCCTGGAAAAGAGTTTATTTACTACTGTCTCACAGGGAAGAAACTGAGGCTCCAGCGGTGATATTAACATGTTCCAAACCCACACAGCTAGAAAGTGGCAAAGCCAGAAATCACATCCAGTTGCTTGTGTGTGTGTGTGTGTGTGTGTGTGTGTGTGTGTGTGTGCGTGCGTGCATGTGTGTCCAAATCCTGTGGTCCCAATGCTGGGATACGTTGCCTTTGTTCAACAAACATTTAGGTGTTTGATGAACACATGGCCCAGAATTCTTGACAAGCGATACCTGATGTAGCAAATACTATAGATATTTGTCACCACCCAAAATATACCCACCCAATTTTGTCCCACCCAAACTATACCCACAGCTTCAGTGGACGTTTCCCACACATCCTGAGAACTTTCCACTTCTTTCTTTCTCTGGGCTTTCTCTGGCTACACAGTGCTCAGCTCGTCTGCAGAGCAGGCCACAAGTACCAGGGACCCCATGCCCATAGGAGCAACTGTTCACCAGTGAGGGGCCGGTGTTAGTGGCTAGACCAGCCTCTCTGGCCCCTGGGAGCAGACACTTCTGTTGTGCTCTTGTGTTCTATAAAGTCTCTTGGAGGTTCCCAAGCAGAATTAAGCCCCAGTTTTTTGCCCACAGCAACAACTTGCTCATCAACACTTCCTTTATTAGCTTCCCATTGCGGCTCGGGTAGGCCAAATAGGTGTTTTCCCTGGACCAACCCTTCAATGCACAAATATTATTGATCGACCACTGTGAATCAAAAATGTTAGACAGTGGTATGGGTAAGCAGTGGTCCCGCTCTCTAAGATTGTATAAACACACACACGTGTACAATGGACAGCTGGCCATTGGGAGACTACAGGAAAGATCCAGAAGAGAAATGGTGGGGGGCTCGGTTCAGGTCAGTGGCAGTGGGCGACGTGAGTAGTTGGATGCTGGATATATTTGGAAAGTGATGCCAAGAGGATGTGCTGACAGGCCAGGTGCAGGATATGAGGGAAAGACAAAAGTCAAGGACGTTACCAAAGTTGTTTTCTCCCTCTGGGTAATTAGAATAATGGAATTGTCTTTAACTTAGATGGGAAAGCTACAGAAAGAAGTGTTCATATTTAGGGGTGGAGAGGACAGATTTTAGGAGTTTAGTTTTTGACATGTAAGTTTGAGATGCCTGTCAGCCATCCAAGTAGGGGTGCAGAGCAGAGAGCTGGAACACAAGCTGGTGTTTAGGGGAGACGCTAGGATGGAGATACAGATTTGGGAGTCAGAAGCATGTGGATTGGGAACATGTGAGGTCGTGCAAAGAATCTCTGGTCCCCAGGAGAGAAGCATCGAGTGGAGGAGACAGACACTACCCAGTCATACGTAAGTCATCCGAGACCATGAGAACGCTGGGGAGGGGGAATGCAATGACCACCCTTTGTGGGACACAAAGACAAGGCACATTCTGCCCTACAGCAGCTGCCAGTGTAAAAGAGAAGGTCTGGCTGCGTGCGGACAGCTACCGTATACAGTGCGGTAGTGGGAGGGGTACAGGGAACGCCGCAGAGAGTGCAGGTGGGGGCGTTCCTTGAGGGGGGGGGGGGTTGTTGGCCCCTTTCCCAAGGGGGGTTTTTGGGTTGACCCTTGACCTTTTGAGGGTTTTGCCCGTTTTTGCTTTTTGGGGTTTAAAGGGGGAGGGGCTTTTTTTTTATTCCCCAAGGAAGGACCTTGCCGGGTTCTTCGGGAACCACCCGGAGGCCCAGGTTGTTGTTGGGAATTAGGCTTGGAAAGGAGGCTTGGGTTTTGTTCTTGAGGGTTGTTGCTTTTCCCGGGAAGGGTTTTGGCTTATCCTGTGGGCAGTGAGGAGCCACTGAAGTCAGAGAGTGACGTGGTTGGAGCTGTCCCTTAGGACAAGATGCGCTTCAGGGCGAAGGCGCAAGAGATGGGAGGCTGCAAGACCGGTCAGGAGGACTTGGCAGGCAGGAAGGAGAGGACGAGAAGGGAAGGAAGACATTTACCGAGAAATGCAATTTGACAACAGGGACCAAAATGTTAAATGTGCATGGCATTTGACCAGTATCACTACTTGGAGGAAAATACAGGAGGAGAGGTTTATCTAGGAGGAACAAGATATACACAGAGGAATGATCATTGGAGCATTGTGTATGACAGAGAAAGCTGAGAAACAACAAAAAGGTTTATCGATGAGAAACGATTAAACAAAACCGTGATACATCTGTACAGTGGAATGCTCTTCAGTGATTAAAAAGATGATGTATGTCTACGTTCATTGGCATGAAAGAAGCGCATACAATTTATTGTTGAGTAAAAAAGACAGGCTGTGAAATAGCATTTATCTGATAAGCCTATTTATCAAAATGATATCCTTAAAATATCATCCATGTATATATGTCTAGGGAGACCTTTGAAATTATGTTAATCAAGATGCAGATGGCAGTTTTTGCTAGATGATAGGATTTGGTGGCGTGTTGTTTATTTGTTTGGGGAGGGGCGATTCCTCTTTATATCTATTCTGGAGGGCATGTATTTTCTGCCATAAACTTGTGATATCTTAAACATAAGATAATGCAAATTTTCGAAAAGAAGTCAAACAGTTATTGAATTCTTGCAAGGCAAATAGCCCCAGGTCTAGAGTGTGAGCAGTTATTAATCTGTGTTATTATAGCTGACCTCTCCAAATCAGCGTTTGCTCTTTGAGCCTCTCCCAGAAAGAGGTTAAAAGAATTTCTGGTCTGCACAGGGGGAAGGAGCCAGAGGGAGCATGCTCGGGTGGCCTGGTAACCTTCTCCCCTCTTCCAGGGTCTTCCTGAGAGCAATCAACAAGTTTGCAGAAACCATGAACCAGAAGTTCCTGGAGCACACGAACTTCGAGTGCCAGGTCAGTGTGGGGGCCGGGCTGCGTTGGCGTCTCTGGCTGGGGGCTCTGTCAGACACGTCCCAGAGCCCATGGAAGGGTGCCAGTGTCCCTGGGGCTTGCCACAGCGGGCTGTGGGGGGGAGGGAAGTCTCAGGCTTTGCAACCAGCCCCTCAACGAAGCCAGCATCAGTGGAGCAACATACGCAAATGTGACTGTGTCATGGGTCTTGTGCTAACAGGGAGACTTGCATTCATCCACCGTCACAGCGGGCACCATTTTTTAACAAGGTAGCACCATTTTTTAACTTTCCTGTTCACTGAAGCCAAAACAGCAGCCAGTCATAGACATTGAAACATGATTCATAATAAAGCTCCCAAGTACATCTTTGTGGCTTCCTGATTCCTTCAAAAGCCATTTTTAGTCCTCAGCCGAGACCTGGGGCCTCTGAGACTCAGGCGAACGAAAACATGTCCCTGGGGCACACAGAGTGACGCACCTGCCCTGTGTCTCCCACGGGTCCAGGCCCAAGAAGCACAAACTCTTCAGAGCCTGTGGGGAAATCCAGGTTGCTGCCGCTGGCTGGAGGTGTGGGAGAGAAGGCCCCAAAGGGGGACCCACTCCAGGGCGTCCTCGAACCCCGGTCTCCTGCAGCGGGGCATAGGGAGCAGCTGTCCCTGCCCGGTGAGTGGGATGACAGTGTTCTCTGCCTGCCCCTCTGAGGAGTTTGGTTCCCAACTGTGCTTTCGCCTCTCACCAGCTGAGCACCTTCGGGCAGGGCCTGGACTCTGTCCATTCCTCAGGTGATTTATCTGTGAAATGCCAACAACAGGGACCTTTTCTACTGCATTGGGTTTTTTCCCAGAACTGGAATTTGCCAAGGGGCTTGCTGGGAAAATCGACTGGTAATGTCCTGCTAGTTTCTGTTCAAATACTTCGTCCTTAAAGAGGCCTCCTCGGCCTGACTCCTCTCTGGGGATCAACCCACCAACCCCAGGGTCAGTATGCCTCACCGCTTGGCCTCATGGTGTCTCTTCCTAGCAACGAATGTCATATGATACCATCTTTCGGGCCTGCATGTTTGCTCTCTTTCCTCCAGTAGAACGCAAGCCTCGTGAGTGCAAAGACCTTGAACTCACAGCAACTCTGTGCTCTGTGCCCAGCACACAGCTGGTCTCCTCGCAGAGGGGACGTCTGGGCTGAGACCCGTGAGACTCGCCCTGCTGGCAGCTCCAGCCTATCAGTACTTGCTAGGCTAAAAGGATGATTGTTATCTTTGCTCAGGGTTCTCATGCGTGACCTTGCATTAAATCAGGCAACTGAGCAATAATGAAAACGATGATGAAATGAGTAGCCGCCATTGCCTGGTGGCTTATACACACCAGATCTCACAAGAAGCACATCAAGGGTGTTATTTCTCTCCATCCTTGTAGCTACCCTATGAATTAGCCGCTGTGACTAACATTTTTTTCTGCTCTAAGGATGCAGGGAGTAAGACTCAGAGAGGATGAGTAGATAGCCTGAAGTTGCACAGAGCGTCAGTGCAGAGCTGGGACCAGAACCTGACAGTAGATGACACCAAGGCCCACGCAGATGACCAGGGCCACATGCCAGGCGTGGAGTTTGCCACTGCATTGGGCTGCCTGCCTGGCTGGCAGGATCTGGGCGAGAGTTTCTCCCAGCATTGTAAATCTTGACATGGGAACGAAACATGTTTCTTTAGCTGTTTTGAATCAGGAGAAATGTTTGATTCCCTTCCAGGTGGCCCTGATGCCTGCAGACTCTGGTAATGGGTGTGCTCGGGGAAGTTAGAAAGGCCATTGCTTTTTTGGAGGGGCAGCTTGAAACAGCATACCTAGGAGCCAGCAGTGGCAGCGTGAGGGCCGTAAAACTGCAGGCTGGTTTGCTTTTCTCTTCCTGTGGGCTCAGCAGTCGCAGCCTCAGATCTGCTTTCCTGAGTCTGGCTCACCTCCATGGTCTTGGGTGGGAATTTTCCAGAAGTCCCTCATGCCATTCCTTTAGGTTTTATCCTGTTTTCCTGAAAGAAAACCTATATCAGGGAGATGCCCAGAGATTGGGGGTTTCATACTTGAAAAGTTCATGCTCATGCATTATGTGACTTTAAACAAATTACTTTCACCTCTGTGTGCCTCAGTTTCCCCAACTTTAAATTAAGATATTAATAGTAGCTATGTTGTTGGGTTGTTGTGAGGAGTAAATGCATTAATTCACGTAAAGCATGTAGAACAGTGGTAGGAACACAGTAGCCATTTAATAAATGCTAGCTCATGATAATAATAGTAATTGTTAGCATTTTGGTGGTGACGATGATGATGATGACCCTAAATGTGTCAGGGCTGGGAACTCGTGTCAATCCTTGATAAACAGGACAGTCGGGGAGGCATCTTTCTGGTCACCCACAGTGTTGCCTGGGGCTATCACTCCAACAAGATTCTATAAAATAGGAGAGTGGCCAACATCACAAAATAAACAAGTCTTGTTTTCTAATGAGGCTTCCATAGATATTTATTGAAAAGTACCCAAGAACGAGATCATTTTTCAACCTTATCTTTGTTCTCCTCCCTTTTTCTCCCCTCACCATGTGAGAATGGATTTGTTCTCTGCATCCTGCCTGGAACATGCCTTGTCTCCTTACGCTTTCATTAATTATGCATTTAATATCAGCAGGAACAGCATCCATCACCGAGTGCTGCCTGCCTTGGCAGCCAGTGTCCAGACGAGGGGCAGGTGCAATGAGATTATCCCTAATATCTTTTCCGGAACTGTAGTTTTGTGATTCAAAGGGCAGAAAGCAAGACGCTCCGTGGGTGCCACTCTGTAGGCGATAAGACCTGGGAACTGCAAAATTGGTGTTTCCTGCTTGGAGCTAAGACCATTTGCATGCCTGGGCCCTATTCAGGATGCTGGGCCATGGTGTTTGCCTCTATTAACGTGGTCAGAGAAGACCAAGAGAGGATTTCAAATTTAACTTTGCAAGGATTTTTGTCTAAGAGCAATTGTCATGAATCCAGGCCATTGCAACATCTTTGAGGAATTCAGAAGCAAAGAAGAATACTTCCCTGCCCTCTAGGATCTTTAGATTTTGATAGAAGACCATACAAGTCCATTTTCTAGCACCCAGGCTTTTGAAGAAGGTGACAAACCTTTACTGGGCATTTATGTACAGAATCTTGATCCTCTTCATAATCCTGTTCAGTTGGGATATACCCATTTTCCCGGTGAACAAACTGAGATTCAGGGATGTGTCTGTCTTTTCTGCTTAAGTCATCTAACTATTAATTCAACCCCAAGCCTGTCTGCAAAGCCCATCCTTTGTCCACTCTTCTGCTTCATCTCTCAGAAATGAGGTGCCTTTGGATGCTAGGAGACAGGTCTGTTTACATCTAGAAACACTCTCTGCCCTTGCCAGTTCTTCCTGGCAGTGGGATCGAGAGCTCTAAGATAAGTCACTGTAGGGTTAGACATTCCGTGTTGAAAACTCCGATTGGGCCTGGAACCAGTGCTTGCGTTTAGGCTCCAGGGCAGCTCTGTGATTGGTAATGAGATCATTCTCTCTGCTTGGGAAGCTCTAATTGACTTCGGGTAACTTCTGGGCACCAGGCCCATCCGGGGACCATTTTGGAACATGCATTAGAGATCCTGTGAAATGAAAAACTTGCAGAATATTCCCAGCCATTAGTGGAGGAATGAGGGCCAGCTTGGTCTTCATAATGGGAAATGTGACCAGAGATGCCAAGAACAAGTGAGGTTACCAAAGCCTTGCAGAGGCCCATTGTACTGTCACAGGGGACGCACGGTGGGACGGCTCCTCCAGGCAGAAAGGCAGCCATATGCCTGGGGACTGTTTCCCCAGCCCTGCCTGCTTCCGCTTTTGGGCCCCAGACAACCTCTGCTCTGATGTTCGTAGCTTGAGTCCACACCTGGAACCTTCCTCTCCCAGAGCCAACAGCATCCCCAAAGGGGGCGCATGCCAGCAGCAGCACGTGCTGGGTGGTTTTCTATTTGGAATTTGGGGCAAATAATAATTCAAGGTTATTGAGAAAGAATTCCACAAGATCAAAAATCCTTGATCTTTCTGCTGTAAAGACTATAAAACATCAGACGAACCAGCAGACATGTTAATCAATAGCAAAGGCTGAAGGAAACCAAGAGAGAAGAAGAGCTATTTTAGCAGAAGAGCAGGGTGGTGAAGAATGCAAGTCTTGGAGTCAGATAAACTCGGATTCAAATGTCACCCACCTTTGCCACTTTGTAGCTGTGTGACCTTGGCAAGATATTTAACTTCCGTAGGCCTCAGTTTCCTGATCTCTAAAATGGGGAGAGTACTAACACAAATCTGATAGTCCCTTAGGAGGATTTAACAAGAATGCATGCAGAGTGCTTGAGTCGTTAATGAACTCACTCAACAGATATTTCCTGAGCGCATGCTGGGGTAGACATGATGCTAGACTCTGTGTATATCACAGTGAATAAAAAAGATGAAAAATTTGACTGCACGACATTTACATCCAGAAAATAAATTAATTTGAGGGTGAATAGGAGGTGGATCTACTTTAGTCTGGGTGAGTGGGGAAGGTTTCCCCAGGAACTGATATTGCAAGACTGAGTAGGAGTTTACTAGACAGTGATTTTCTCAATTATTCCTTATAACCACGCCCTTTAGATACTATTAGCTCCATTTTCTAGGTGAAGAAACGGAGACTCAAAAGGTAGGGTAACTTGTCCATGATAATAGAGCTGGAAAGCAACCTGACAGTATCTATGAAAACAAACCACAAAGGTAATAAGCAAACAATAACAAAACCAGTGTAGACCCTGTGACTTAGTAATTTCAGCTCTAGGAATGTATACTACAAATATAGTTTCTCATGCATAACGATATTTAAATAGGGTGTTGATTATAGCACTCTTGCTAGAGGGAAAAAGTTGGAATCAAGCTAAATGTCTATAAATTGGGAATTGGTTAAAATTAAAGTACATCCTTATAGCAGAATACAATGCAGCAATAAAAGGGAATGAAGCAGATCTGTATATGCTAATATGGAAACATTTGTGAGATATATTAGTAAGAGAAAAAAAGCCAAGTATAGCAGACTATTAAAAAAAGTCTATACATATATTTATCTATACATGCAAAATTTCTGAAAGTCTATCTAAGAAATCGTTAACATTTTCCTCTGGGGAATTTTGCTAGGCTCCTAGGTAAGATGGAAAATAACTTTTTTATTTAATCTTTTCTATTATTTAATTTTTTAAAATCATGGGTATATATTACTTTTATAATTTTGTTGAGAGTTAATTTAAGATAACTAAATTCTCATTAGAGCCCCCCAGCAGTATGATTTTGGGTGGTCTTTTAACTTATCTGCACCTTATTGTTTACATGTGTGAAATACAAAAGTTGGACCAGGTGACCTTTAAATTCATTCCAATTCTAACTCTCTATTGTCCTGTGATTTCAAAATATTGAATTCCCAATCAGAAATCACCTCACCTCTTCTCCAGGGCAAAGAGATCTGTGTGCTTTGCTAAAAAGGCCCTGTGGCTTCTCTTAGTCAACTGAGCTAGGCACTTAGTATAAACACCACCAGACGGCTTGTCACATGGCAGAAAGAAAAATCTGAGACCTTTTGAGGCATTTCTCCGGGAATATGGCGATCAGTAAATAAGTATTTTCTGGAGCCCAGCTGTGTTTGAGCCATTGTGCTGAGCACCGCGTTAGGGATACAAATAAATGGAAGACGGGACCCATGGTGCTTGTGGCGCTTGCAATTAGAGAGGACAGGGCATACAGGTACTCTGCGACCAGTGCCACCACCATCACCACCATTCCATTTACTGAGCACGTGGTGTGTGCCCCTTGCTCGTAACATTTCATCTTGTCTTCAGTAGTCCTTCGTGGTAGCTGCCATTACTTTTGCTGTTTTGCAAGTGAGGAAATGAGACTCAGAAGGGTCAAGTGACTAGCCAAAGGTGACCTAACTAGTAAGCAGGACTAGTTTTCGCACCCTGGTGTGCAGGACGCTGATACACATGTCCTTAACCACTGGAGGATGTTTTCACGGGAAGCGAGTGGAGCCCAAGGCCGCGGGCAGAGCAGTGGACTGAAGTCTGTAGCAAGTCTGTAACAAGACCCAAAGGAAGTGGGTCTTGAATTGGGCTTTGGTGAAAGAATAGGACACAGAGACTTCAAGTCAGATACACTACTCTCTTCCCCAAATGAGAGAGCCACTGTGAGCAGAGCCATGGAGACCAAAATGCTCCTGGGATCTCTGTGTAGTCTGAGCAGGCGTACAATGGGCAGTTTATCGAAGGAGAAAACACTGGAGTCGGAGGAAATTATATGCGGCCTTCAAAGCCAAGTTAATGCATTTGGTCCTAAGTGTTTGGAAACAGGAGTCAAGGAGGGTTTGGGGCAGAGGCATTAAGAGCGTCCAGCAGTATCTAGTTGTGGCCACTGCTCACCTCTCAAGGCATTGCACAGAGCCACCGACTGTGACAGCCACCTCTCAATTGCACAGCCACCCCCACGGGGCTCCATGAGCAGGGCTGGGCAGGGCTGGGGCTGAGATTTAGGTGTGCCATTTCTGAGCCACTGAGATGAGGCACAGCTGTAGCCTCAGGGCCACAAAGATTTCCCAGGAGGGGAGCCTTCTCCTCCAAAAACACACAACGGGTCCACTCCCAGGTATATACCCATGGGAATTAGAAACCTATGTCCACACAAAAATTTGTAAGAGAGTGTTCATAGAGCATTATTTATGATGGTTAAAAACTGGAAACAACCCAGATGTTCACAGACGGATGAATGGACAAACAAAATGTGTATATCCATCTGATGGAATATTATTCGACAATAAAAAAAATGAAGTACTGATACAAACTACAACATGTGTGAACCTTGAAAACATTCCACTAAATTTAAAAAGTCATGCCCAAAAGGTCACATGTTGTATGATTTTATTAATATGAAATGTCAGGATAGGCAAATCCAGAGACAGAAAGTAGCTTAGTGGTTGCCAGGGACTGGTGGGGGAGGGCAGGGGGACTGACTGCTGGTGGGTAGAGGCTTTCTTTTTGTGGTGATGAAACTGTTCCAAAATTAGAAAGCGGTGATGGTTAAACCACCTTGTGAAGATACTCAAAATCCCTAAACTGGACATTTTAAAAAGTAACCCTTGAGTCTAAGGGTTAGAGGAAGCCTTTGGAGGACTTTGGGGAAGGGAGTAGTGTATCTGACTTGTTTAAAAAGATCCTTCTGGACTGCGTGTGAGGAGTTGACTTTATGGGGGTTATAAGCCAGGAGGTTACCGCACTGTACCCCAGGAGTGGCTTGGTCTTTGGGGCCCTGGGAGATAAAGGTCCCAGTAAAGGCAAGCGTGTTCACTCAACAAAATGCAGCCTGCACGGGAGCAGACATCGCTGTCTGTGTAACCACTGCCCTGTCAACACACGATGGCAGTGCCCGGGCACTTAGAAGATGTTCCCGAATATTCGTTAGATGGCTCCTCGGCTGAAGACTGCCCATGGCATGCTGAAAGAGCCCAAAGCATCAATCAGAAGACCTAGGTGCAAATCCCAGCTCTGCCGTGTCTGGAACAAGCTGAGTAGCCTTGGGCAAAATACTTAACCTCTCCAAGCCTCAGTCTGCTCATCTGTAAAACAGGAATAATAAGAGCTATTGAGTTTTTGAGAGATGAAAGGAAAGATGGATGGGAAAACCTTGGGCCCATGGTAAAACGCGGTGTGTTTTGCTTCTTTCTAAAACTGGAACCACAAGCCCATTTGAAGGTCATGCTCTGGGCAGCAGTGATGACTTTATCAATGGTGGAGTTGTCTTTTTGCTAGTCTTGGCCATCTGCAGACTCTGATGGACATCTCAGTTGAGGTGGAGGTCTCGATGCCTGTGTGATTTCTCTGCTAATGTTACCCATCCTCAGTGTTCAGAGGGGCCCAAAAGTGGGTGGGTTTGTTCAGCAATCCTGTCTCCCACCTGCTTTGCAGGGCTGTGGCATCTTGCAACAACTGCCCTTGAGGACCCAAGGACCTAGGCTCTGCCATTGGCATTGGTACCAAGGGCCCCATTCAAACAATGAAAAGAACAACAATGTGGCTAGCCAATATTCCTGAGCCCTTAATGTGATTCGTGCCCTTTAAGCACATCATCTCGTGTCACCTTTATTACAACCTTCTGCAGTGGGGACTAGAGTCATCTCAATTTTGCAGACAGGTACCCTGAGGCTCCACAGCACCTTGATTTGTGCCTACATCTCTCTGGTCTGTCACCTGGATCAGCATTGCCATATCCCTGCGGCCAGTCTTCTCAAGCACGCGCCATGGGCTGACTCCTTTAGCTGCTCTCGTTGACTGTCAGCTGGCGGAGCGGGTTCTAGTATTAGTCCCTCACATTTAGCACAAGCAGATCGCATACCTGTGAAAATTGTGACGCATAAACTGGGCCCGCAGGGGTCCCGCCTCCTGCAAGCAGCGGAACTTCCCGGAGTGCCTGTTCCCTGCACATTTCCTGGCCTCACCCCGGGAGTCACAGGTCTGGGCAGGGGCCGGAGAATTTGTATTTCTAACAAGTTCCAGGTGCTGCTGCTGCTCCTGGTCTGAGAACCATACTTTAAAACCATTGAGGAAAAGGCAAAATATTTTAAGAGACAATGAATTGCAGGCCGGTCCTCTGAGCTGTCAGGTGAAGGGGGGGGAATTTCCAGAGGGGCTGTGGGTCCCTGAACCACCTTATCCTTCGTCGCCCTCTAATTCCAGGGCAGGAACCGGCTCACGAGGGCACCCAGCTGGGGCGAGTTAGTTGTGTTTCAAAAAACAAAACAAAGCACGACAGTGACCAAAAAATAGCCCTAAAATTCTCCTCCTCGCCTAGATCCTGTTGTCTGGGAGTGGACATGACCGGCGCCCAGAGAAATCCATCCATTGTCCTTGCTTTGGCCAAGATGTTAATTTCAGAGTCAGTGCCAGGGAGGAAATTGCAGTGGGCACAATTAAACGGGTTGTGCCTCTCTGTTCTGCCATCTTCATAAATTATTCACATTACCCAGCACTTAATATGCCTTCCCACTTCAGGCCATCTCCGTAACCGTCTCTGCTCTCTCATTTACAGCTGTGGAACAACTATTTTCATCTGGCGGTGGCTTTTATCACTCAGGATTCTCTGCAGCTGGAGCAGTTCTCGCATGCCAAGTACAACAAAATCCTGAATAAGTAGGTTGCATTTTTGGATTTCCAGAAGTGGGGTTGGGTTTGGGAGATGCTCTGAGACGGTGCCTGAAGCAGAGGCTTTTGTGTGTCCTAGGTACGGGGACATGCGACGGCTCATCGGCTTCTCCATCCGCGATATGTGGTACAAGCTCGGTGAGTAGGCGCGTGCGTCCAGACAGGCACACCTGCACCCACCACGCCTTCGAGAAGGCCATACACTGGGGGGCCTCGGGGTCTCAGCAGTGGGAGCTCGAAACAACAGTCTGTCATTGTGTGCGCCCCTGGTCCTTAATGCGTGCCTGATTATACACTGAATGACGGAGGGGCCCACCCTCAGCTCGACCTCAACCTCTGCTTCTGCTCTGCCCCTGAGCAGGTTCAGAGTCAAGCTGGCATTTACAGGAGGGAGCAGGACTGCTGTGGGGACTCACGTGCCCACACGTCACACGAAGGCTTGATGCCAATCGGTGGGTCACCTTGAGTCCTGCGTGTGACGTGGTCCACAAAGCGTCCTCCAACCTCGTGGGGAGAACTGGTTCTCTGGAAGATGAGAGGGTCTTTTGAGCTGAAATTGGACCCAATAAAGCTGTCCCTGCCTCAGGGAACTACAGGAATCTTGTATGATTACCTGAGTGATACCCAAGGACAGAGGGACAGGACCAGGGAGATGTTTATTGAGAGTCTGAGTCAGGCATGTGCTAAGGAAATCTGATTTAATCTTCACATCACTTTCTGTAAGCTAGAAACATTTCCCCTCCTTTTATGTATCAGAAAATTCAGAGAGGGAAGCAGCTTGCTTGCTTGAGGTCAAACAGCCGGAAGTCTCAGAGCATGGTTTTGATCCATGAGGACAAGGACCATAAACCTTGCCCACAGCCCAAATCTTCCTCCATAAATATGTGCTGAAAGGATGAATGGCTGGAGGGCTGGATGGACAGTAACGAATATTTTATTTCTGTGCTCCCTCCTTGACTTTCTGATGTTGAATTGCTGTCCCCAGGGCTTGGCACAGTTGACTCTCCCCAGCAGAGGCACTCACAGGGACTGGCTGGGCCCATCTCTCGGATTTAGCTTCCTTACCTCCCCAGCCTGTGCTTCTTGCTTCCCAAGACCCCTTCGTGTCTGCCAGTCCAACCAGCTTTTCTAGGCAGCAGCTGCTTGCCCTTTCCAGCAAGTTCCATCCACTGTGGGGGCAGCATAGCACAGTGGGTAGACTGCCAGTGTGGGTTCTGCGGGTGCTGGTGGGTCAGACTCCACCTAGAGCGCATGCTGGGTGACAGAAAGGTTGTGGGTTGGCTCACAAGGTCCAAGGCAGAGCTGAGGACCCAGGCCCAGAGCAGACTGCCGCATCCCTGCCTTGGGCCTTGTCCTAACGTTTACACACTATGAAGCCTAAAGCAAGGGGACCTAGCATCACTCGGCCATAGTTGGGGAAATATCACCTTCTCACGTGGTTCTTATGAGGGTCATAGGAGCAAAGACTGGGGAGAGTGCAGCTATGGAGGCCACTGCACCCATACTGGAGTTTTTATCATTAGTCTCACCCTGCCCACCCAGATGGAACCTAATTTTCCTGCTCTGGCTCCTTAATCCTCAAAGCTGGGCCTGTATCACTAAAGACTGAAGGGCAGGGCTCAGGCAAGTGATGTAAAAGAAGGCTGGAGTGTGTTAAACCCAGAGAAATTCTGTAAAGCAAGAACAACATTTGGATCGGGTGATTCTTTGCGGTGGGGGCTACCCTGTGCATTGCAGGGTATGGAGCAGTCTCCCTGGCCTCTGCCCTCTAAGATGCTAGTAGCATCCTCCCTGGTCATGACAACCAAAAAAGTCTCTAGACATTGCCACATGTCCCCTGGGCAGAGGGATACCACCTCTGCCCTGTTTTTTCTAGAAAAGCATGTCTTTCTCAGGCTACCTTCAGTTTGTCCACTTGGGTAAGGACTAGGACATAAGAAATAATTTATGTTTCATCTACCCTTGCTTTGTGATGGAGAAACGCAAGCACAGGCCTCCGTGGTAGCCAGCACCTGGCCTTGGGGTCAGGCAGATGGGAAGGAGTAGATGCCTGGAGCAAAGTGAAGAGGCGACACAGCTGCTGTTCCTCTCCCGCTGGTGGCTGTCCTCCTAAAACATGAGCCCATGTTGTCACACCTTACAGTTTTTCAAAAGAAGCCAGGAAACTGGGTTTTTCAATGCATTTTCCAATTTATGAATATTAATGATATCTCATTGAAAGCTGTCAAAATATTGAACGTGCCCAAGGAAGGGATGGAGCCCAGATTCAGTTCTCTTCTGAGTCTGCATTCTTGCTCTACCATAGCAGAGACAGATAAGCCGCAGTGGGCTTCCTTCCAGGCTCCACGGCCGGGCGTTGCCAGAGCTGGAAAACAGGGACCTGCACTTTGTCCCCAGTGCTTTCACACAGCCTGCTCTTTTCTGAGTGTCCTTCGTTGCCATTGTTTTGCACACAGAAGATTTTACTTAGATATAGATTATGTTTTGGCAGGCATTCCTGCACTCCCGATTATGCTGATGAATGAAAAGATGTTACCAAATATTCCACCTGCTTAGAATTACAGAACATCAGAGCTGGGAGGGCCCTTTAGAGATCATATTGTCCAGCATTTTTCAGACATTTATTTTTAGCTGAGGACCAATAATAAAAAAAAAATCTCATGCGTGATAAGTAAATTGGATGAAAGCAGAGCTATTCTAATTGAAGTGAGGTGGGCGGGCTCAGAGCTTATTATACTGGGCTGCTCTCAAGCGCCCCATGTAGACTCCCCCACCCCCAGGGCTTTGGAGGAAGTGCTAAAGCACTCTGAGAATAGTTGGAAGCTACTGGTCTGGTCCAGCCCACCGTTTTACCAGTGAAGGAACTGAGACTCAGAGAGGAGAAGGAGTTTGTACCAGATCATTTAGTGGATTGGAGGCAGAAACTGGACAAGAGCCCTGGCCAAAGTGTTTGCTCTGATGCATCAGACTCCTTGCTGTTTGCAAATACCTAGAATGAGTTAAGGCAGTTAAAAGATATGTCTGTCAGGGTTTGGGGGTTGGTTGCAAGATGGAGGCATTAGCTATGGCTGCCTTATTCAGAGAAGGTATGTGCTGGGAGGACCAGGAGGAACTGAAACACCAGGCCACGGAAGGACGGGGTCCAGAGCCACTCTGGGATCCAGAGCAGGTGGTGCAGCTGCTGCCATTGCCTTCAGGACGCTCCACCCCTTTGTCATTCTGCTAACGATCAAGTCTCCTAAGCACACTGTTCTGTTGGACTTCCTTGGATGACCTCCTAATGTTTCCACCAAGCCTACATCCATTGTGGGAGGAAGAGTTTCCTAAGGCAAAATCCAGGAAGATAATATCACTGGAAGAAGGAGTTAGGAACAGAGGTCAAACAAAAGCCACAGATACCCACTGCAGACAATAAGAATCAAAGGATGCTTTGCAAAGATGGTCACCCCCTCACCACCTTGGCCTGGCTTCAGAGGAAGAGGAAAGCATATCCACCCGAAGTGGTTTTTCTTGGCCACACCAGCCTTCCACTCGCTGGTTCTATGGCTGCTTTCTCCTTGCCTGTCTCCTTCAGGGAAAAGAGAACAGAAAGCGGGAGCAGAGAAAATGGGCAGTTCCCGCATTCCCACCCTGCCCTGTGCTCAGTGGGATGCTGGCATTAGCCTGCTTTCTCCTAGCATGCTAATGACATTAACTTGATAATCCAAACCAAGACTAAACACTGTGTACATTAGGGACCAATGTAGTGAGACCACGACACTGGCTAATGATAGGTTTTAAAGTGCAATTCATGGAACGTCCAAGGCAGAGTGAAACTTAGAAGCTATCTGTGGCCGACTTTGCTGATTGCCCATGCAAAAGTCGTTCCCCTCTTCTTCCTGCCTAAATGAATCCTGATTTTGTTTCGTGTCAGGATTGCAACTTGCTCAGTTAACGATGTCTTGTGGCAGGTGATGGCCATGTGACCCAAGTCTGTCCCACTAGAATCAGCAGAAACATACTTGATGGGGCTTCAGGAAAGTGTTTCTTTCCCAATTAAAGAAGTAAAATCAAAACAAAAACAAGAGGCAGAGAGAGGACAAATTCAATGAACACAACATATTTTTTGCTCTGGAAAAGGATGAGACACTTGGAGGGGCAGTAGCCATTTTAGCACCATGAGGACAAATGTCACATGCTGAGGGTGCGGGAGCAGCTATGGACTGACCAGCTTTGGACTTCTTGTTAAGGAAGAAAATTAAAGCTCCAGTTTAGTCATGACAGTCACATTTCTGTTACATCTCTAACTGGTACATTATCTAATTCAGCCTGCTGACTTTATAGGCAACGTTGCCAAGTGAGGCCCAGAGAATCACAAGGACATCCCCGAGTTCAGCAGCAAATCGGTGGCTGAGTTGAGGCTAGAAGAGCCTGTCTCTTGACTCCAAGTTCAATGTTCTCACAAATTATTTTTTTCAAAGAATATGCAAATTATTTTCAAAGGGTATAAAATAGCCAACTAACTCTGTTTTTCAAAGACTGCCGGTAATGAGTAAATCATAATGCATGCTAGTTTTTTAAATTTTGTTTTAATGCTAGAAGCAATCAGGGCATCATCATCATGATCATCAGTATCATCTTCTTCTTCTTCTCATCAAGAACAACTTGAGCAACCCTGTGATTATAAGATAGCTAATTGCAAAGCTATAATCCAGGCTTGAAGATTCTTTAAAATTCTTCATAGGAAAGTCTAGACAAATGTGAGTGTGTGTGTGTGTGTGTGTGTGTGTGTGTGTGTGTGTGTTGTTTTGAGAGAGGAGGTGTGGGCAGGGAGGTCTTCATAAGTAGAAGGACAACATGTTGTTGAGGAGACAGCCACTAAAGGGTTAACAGCATTTGTATTTTTGGATCCTGGGGCGATGCCAAATGTAATGTACTTTTCCCAATAGTGTAGCATCATAACATTTGATTTCTGCTTGGCATGAAGCAATGCACATTTTGCTAAAATGACTTTGCACCTAACCCTCCCACGTTCACCTGGGTTAACGGCGGGCTGCTTTGTTAACAGCCATCATGGGAGAGAAAGGCACAATCCAGTCGCTGGCATCTCAGCCTCACGTGTGGGCAGGTCGCTCCTGGCAGAGCGGTGGGAGCAATTG